CCACATCCTCCCACTCCGCTCCCCCGAACCACATAGCACCCAAGTCTTCCCCACCCCAACGGACGCCTCCCCCTCCCATATATGCCCGACCCACGGTATATTGTCCATCACTTAGACTACTGCCATGCAATCCATTTGGTGTCGCTGTTATCGCTATGAACATGGCGGGGTAGGAGTTATTTGGTAGACAGGTTGTGCTGTGCGTGCAATGACGAATCCCCAGGGCGTGCAAACCAACGAAAGTTGATACTTTTGATGAACTTAGAACGCCTACAATTGACTGAGTGGCATTTTTGATATCGTTTTTAAATCACTAATTTATAACCGATATGTTTAAAATATAACACGTTGTTTCGATTTCGACATGATGTTCTTTTAAATACCACTGAAAACAGACATCAAAATAGACATCACAATGTCATCAACATCTAAATAGACATCACAATGTCATCAACATCTAAATAGACATCAAAACGTCATCAACCTCAAAACAGACATCACATATGTCATCAACATCAAAACAGACATCAAAATGTTATAAACTTCAAAAAAGAAATTACAATGTCATCAACATCAGAATAGACATCACAACGTCATCAATCTTCAGAAAAGACATCACAATGTCATAAAAAATAAGATAACCATCACAATATCATAAACATCAAAATAATATTATAATAATAATAATATACAACATTTATATAGCGCCCTATATAATTTGTAAAATTACTCTAAGGCGCTTTACAACATATGGATAATAGTAATGGTTATTATTGTGAAAACAAACAACAAAGGCTTGCAATCACTTATATACTTTTAACAAGCAATGTGCACATAATTGAACAAATAAAAGGATGGTATTTAAACTACTCTTTGCAAAGATTTTAAAATGCAGATGTGAAGAGGTGAGTTTTTATGTCCCTCTTGAACTTGGCCAGGGTATTTGACTCCCTAATAGCAGATGGTAAGCTATTCCACAACGTTGCCGAAACCCTCCCAAAGCATCTGTTTCCGTAGGTCACAGTACGAGATTTTGGGACACACAACAAAGATTCTGACTCCGACCGCTGTGACCTTGACGGCTGATACAGGGTAACAAGCTCCTGTAGGTACTGAGGAGCTGTTCCATTCAGTACCTTGTATGCGTATACCAAAATTTTGAACTGCGACCTGTATCGTACAGGTAACCAGTGAAACGAATAAAGCGCAGGTGTGATGTGCTCTCTCTTTCGAGTACGAGTAACTAGCCGTGCTGCAGTGTTCTTGACCCTCTGCAGACGACTAGTTAGTTTGTCAGATTTACCACAGAGCAGGGCGTTACTATAATCCCACCGAGAGGTAACAAGTGAATGCACCAACATCTTGCATGCATCTGCAGTTAGACACTGCCGAATACAGCCGATGTTCCTGATCTGGTAGTAACAGGATATGGCAATTGCGTTCACTTCTTAGAACTGTCAAAGTATACCCCTAGGTTTTTAACAGCTGGAACAGTCTCAATAGTTCTGGCACCAACCTTGAGCTGGAGAGCCATTGTTTGCTGACACTTTGGGGAAAAGACGATTAGTTCCGTCTTTTCCTGATTAAGTTTAAGCATGTTGGCGTTCATCCAGATACTGATATCTGTCAGACAAGCTTCCAGACTTTCTGAGACTGTATTCCAACTGTCCTGTGGTTTTATGATCATGTAAATGTGTGTGTCATCGGCATAGCAATGATAGCGAAGGCTATGGCGACGACAAATCTCTCCAATCGGTTTGGAGTACATACAATATTTTCGTGGTCCTAACACCGACCTTTGAGGAACCCCGAACTCTAGTACTTTGTCATGTGAGGTGGCAGATCCGATGGCAACACACTGTCGTCGTTTACTCAGGTATGACTGTATTCAGCATAGTGTGGTATCAGTCACTCCATAGGAGTATTCCAGACGTTTATAAAGTATGCCATGGTCGATGACGTCAAATACAGATGACAAGTCCCGCATGACAAGCACCGCTCTGCACTTGTTATCCAATGCAGAGGTTATATCACTATGTACACGTAGGAGGGTCGTCTCAGTAGAGTGTCCCATGCGGTAGGCCGATTGCATGTTGTCATGGATACTGTTTGCATGGAGATGAACCTCTAAACGCCGGGACATAACCTTCTCCAAGATCTTAGACAGAAAAGGCAGATTTAAAACTGGGCGGTAGTTTTTCAACTCCTCCTTGTCCATTCCAGGCTTTTTTAACAATGTTCTGACATGTGCCTTCTTGAAACATAATGGAACTTTTGACTCAACCAATGATTTGTTCATGATTGCGGTAATCAAAGGAAGCAGTGCTTCAAGACATTGCTTTAATAGGTCTGTAGGCAGTCGATTAAGCTCACAGGACTTCGATTGCGAGGTCATGATAATGTTGCGCAACTCGTCCTGGGTTGTTGGTGAGAGCTTTGTCAATGGTTCCCCATCAAATGCAATGTCAGCAGTCATGACAGAGATGTCAATGTCAGCAGAGG